CGTCGCGAGAGTCTCCGGCGGCTTCTGGTTGGTGCGGTTTTGTAGCCCTTTCGATTCGGTGGGAGAAGCGAGTTTCGGTGGCCCTTTTGTGTGTGGAGTGAGAATTCGGTTCGAACAGACGGCGATGGATTATGAATTGTCCGACAGCAGCGGTATGTATGATAAAGATCGACGCTTTGATTGTTTTTGTGCTTCTTAGGGTTCTTTTCGATCTTATAATGGCTTTATGTAGTGGTTGTTCTATTGATTTTGCTTTAAAAATTTTGAATTGAGATGGTCCCATGTACTCGATTAGAGGCAGAGGCCGTAGTTAGGAGCGTGGAGCTTCTTATTTGACGGGTTCGTTCAAAAACAGCCAATTGAAAGAAGTATATTCTTCAATTTTAGGTTTTTAAAGGATTACTTGGTTGAGTTTGAGCTAACTCTGATTTTGTCCAACTGATCTTGTGGTATTATGATCAAATTAAAAAGCTTGTAGCTTGGGAACTACTTTTATGATTTAATAACTTGGCCGTGAACTCGTTTCTTGTTAGATGGATGCAGTTGCCTAGTAGAAAGATTCGAGCTTATTTAGGTGCTTCTAAGTAGTCTGATTTAGATTTCACTTGTCGTGTACTGAGGTTATTTACCTTCTTTCTGGGAATCTCTCTTTTGCCTTTTGTTTGTGAGCTGATGGCTTGAAGCCTCTCCCCCAGCTTCCACTTATTTGAATGTTTGCTTTTTCTTAAGGGTCTTGTTAATGAGTGCCCTGGGACATTTGTTAACCATACTTAAGAAAGAAATAATTATGTTTACAATGCATTGATTGTGCATAAGATGAGGAAGATAGAACTTTGGACATGATAAAATTTCTTCATTTATATGTTTAACTAGTGCCCTTGGAGCACTCCTTAACGAAATCGTCGTATTTAAATCTTACCCTGAAAAAGTGGTTGACATTTTAAAGTTACCTGATTATGGATTTATATTTGAATGCTACAAATGATCCTCGTTGGCGTTACTTCATTAATTTGGTCTCTCTATCTTGTACTGTGGAGACTTTTGAGTTTGCAGTGTCAATTGTGCTTCTGCTATCCCCGACATCTTGATACAATTGTTTTTCTCTTTATTTGACCTTATTGATAAAAAAAATTGGTGGAACTTTGGTTTTTTTTTTTTCCAATATGCCCCAAGAAATGGCCTTATTGGTCATTTCTTGAAGATTATAGGAGTATATTATTTGGGGTTTTCCATGAATGAGGTGATCAGTCTTCAATACGTGGATTTAATATTATTTCAGTTTTGTTTTCTCGTCCTTTGGCCTTTGATTCCTGTAGTGAGGGTTTAGATGTTGCTGACAAACTTCTGAACCTTGTGCTTCTGATCCCACCAGACCTAAAAAATAAACCCAAGAAAAAGAACATCTACCTAGTGTTTTGATGCTGGTATATCCTATCACATCTTCATTCTCTTTCCTTCATTATCATCAGTTGTCATATCACCAAAATGGCCTACTTTGGTATTGATCAACATATGGTTGCAGCTTCCTGTAAACCTCCATTGGTCTGTTCTGTTCAGGTCCATCTAAAATCCTGCTTTTTTGGTGTCTTTACTTTGGAAAAGAGTGTAGGTTGCTTTTCCATTAAGCGACTGAGATTGCTGATACACTTGAATTATCAGATGAAGAGATGCCTTTTCCAATCAATGTCATAATCAGTAGCTTTTATCAGATGAAGGGATGATTTGCCCCATCTTAATGTTGCAATCAGCAGCTTATTGGTTTAACTCTTCTATAGATACTGCAAATGCACTACATCTAGTTTTCCTGTTCCTTTTGAAATTTCATCCTGACCCTTTTTTGGGGTGTAATTTGTAATCCTTCTTTGTATGCAGGGACAGATGATGATCTCCCTCCTACTCATAATAGGTTTCAGAGGGGGGCCAGAACTGCTGGCAACCCCCGGTCTAATTTTGTTGGTCCTCCTCTGTTGCCTAGCGTTCATGGCGACATGGAAACCCAGATCCACAACATTGAGCAAGAAGCCTACTGTTCAGTCCTTCGGGCATTCAAAGCTCAGTCTGATGCCATTACCTGGGTATCTCTCATTGTTCGTATGTTAATTTTTCTGTCTTGCTTGAGTTTTTTAACCAGGCTCAGTGGCTTTTTTCCCCTTGTCTTTAATAGGAAAAGGAAAGTTTAATTACTGAACTGAGGAAAGAGCTGAGGGTATCAGATGAGGAACATAGGGAACTTCTATCAAGGGTCAATGCCGACGACATGATTCGTAGGATAAGGTCTCATCTTTTGAATGACGTGATATGCTTGTTGCTAAGAGTAATGGATGAGCCATTTTCATGTAGATGATTCTTTTTTATTTTTGATCGTTCATTTCTAACTACTTCTTTAGCCATTAGGGAGTGGAGAAAAGCGAGAGGGCTTCAACCAGGCATGCTCAGTACATCCCAGCCTGTTCATGACGTCTTACCAAGTCCCACTGTTTCAGCATCTCGTAAGAAACAGAAAACATCACAATCTGTAGCTTCTTTATCTATGGGGGCACCATCTCCTGCACTGCATCCATCAATGCAACAACCTTCTGGATCGATAAAACGAGGACCTCACCCTGGAGCCAGGAGTAAGAAGCAGAAATCAGTAAGTTGAGAACTTTATGGCTCTTTTTTCAAGAATTTGAATAGATAAGTATTTTTTTCCTCTTCTTTTAATTAACAAGGCACCATAACTGCTGGATTGTTGATGAAGTCCATGCAGTACCCTTCTGCAGGTGTTAGCGCAAGGCCCGGTGCAAACCGGGGCTCCTTTCCAGCGAACGAACATGCTGAGCCAACATCTTATGATCCACTCATAGGAAAGAGAGTCTGGACTAGGTGGCCTGATGACAACAATTTCTATGAGGCTGTTATAACCGACTACAATGCAGCTGAGGTATTGTTTCCTAACTGTTGGATAGGTGTTGTTTCTTAGTTGTCGGATGTTTTTAGTGTTATGAGATTTCATTGATAATTAACCTAAATATTTTTCACTAGGGCCGCCATGCTCTCGTTTATGATATAAATACAGCAGATGAAACATGGGAGTGGGTCAATCTCAAAGAGGTAAATATGCTTCGGTAGAATTTGCCAGGAGGGTTAACATGCCATTTGAAGAAAAATGTTTAATTCACTGGACATTATGTGAAAGTTGATTGTTCGGATATCATGCACAGTAAATTTGACTAAATTGTCCTCTTGCCACGTTTCTTTGATAGTAATACATTTGTCCGCTGTTAAGGATATCGCTATTGGTGATTTACCTTTAACTGGTTTTTGGGCCAACATTTATAAGCTCTCTCTCTCTCTCTCTCTCTCTCTCTCTCTCTCTCTCTCTCTCTCTCTCTCTCTCTCTCTCTCTCTCTCTCTCTCTGTGCGCGCGCCCACGCGCTCTCAAGCACACACCGACACCCACCCACACACCCATATGGTTGTTGATGTTTCTTTAACTGATCCTGCTGTTTTACTTGTTATCTCTTCAAATCACTCGTGGAATTGGCGTTTCTGAGTATCATATTTTCTCTTCTCTCATGTAGATATCTCCTGAAGATATCCGATGGGAAGGAGAGGACCCTGGCGTATCTCGTAGAGGAGGCCGTCCTGGTCCAGGGCGCGGAACCAAAAAACCCATGACCCGTGGTGGTGGCGTTGCGGGAGTTGGAAGAGGTAGAGGAACCACAAAGGCTCAAACGAAGAAAGATGTTCCTTTATCGCAAAACGGCGTGGGAAAAAAGGCATTGGGGGATATTGAATTACTTCATACAGATACACTAATTAAGGAGGTATACGAATGACTTTAACGGATTTGAAGTTTGAAGTAGCTAACTTCTATTCTTGATATTTTAAGATATTAATGTGACAGGTTGAGAAAGTTTTTGGCGCAAGCCATCCTGATCCCAGCGAGATTGAGAAAGCGAAGAAAGTGCTGAAGGTGATGGCTTGCTTATCTTTTGTATTATGCGGTTTTATGTTGCCTCTCTTTCTCATCAACCCGTGTCTCCATAAAATGCAGGAGCATGAGCAAGCCCTAGTTGATGCAATCTCAAGGCTTGAAGATGCCTCTGATGGTGAAAGTGGTAATACCTAATTACTTAACCGCCATCTTTCATAACATAAGCAGCTTAGGTTAAGACCCCCCTCTGACAACCGCTGTAACTCACCCTTGTTGTACTCTATGTTTATACGACTTGTAGTGGCGTACGTGCTCTCTGGCTTTGTAAAAATCATGCGGAACATTAGTCAGTTGAATAAATTTTTGTCGATGCGCCCGAAGTGGCTCTTTGAAGTAATTGTAGAAGTTCTTCCTCGTATTAAAAATATTCTTCCCTTCTTCTCTCTCTACTACTTGACAATATCAGTAGTATTGTGTGAGATAGGACCTTGGTGATAAGGGTGGGCATTTAATACGATGCTACCTCTTCTTTTTGAATTGCATATGGGAAGTCTCGATTGATTACAGAACTCCATTTTTCTTTCGGGACTCATTTCTTTAGGCATTTTCAGCTGGGTTGATTTGCTGTTTTCTTCAAGTATTCGCCTTTTGGCTACTTCGTTTTACTTTTATCCTTGCTTTGCCTTCAAAAGCAGATGGTGGAGAACACCATAAACAAGGCCAAACGAGGGTGGAGGATGAGACAGTGTAATGGTATTGGTGGTGAAGGCTCGGGTGGTGACAAGATAGCCAGAGATGGTAGGATTTCGACTGATCCCCAGGACGAGGGCCGTGACATTTGATTGCTGTAGGCGTTTGCTGTATAATTTCCCCTTTATTCATTTAATCAGCATGTATATTATAGTTAGCCTGATATTCGATTATTCCCCTAGCTTTTTAACTTGTGAGTCTTGCAAATCGTAGTGTATCTGGCTGACCTATTCAGTGTACTCGAATTTGACTGATATCTAGACTAGTTTGTAATTTGTTTTCTCTCTCTCTCTCTCTCTCTCTAAGTAAAATGCCACTATTGCTCCATCTGGAACTACAAATGAAAGAATTACAAGCCATTAGATACACACCGAAGGAGATGGATCAATTCGACATGTAAAAGTTAGCTATCCATTCACTTCAAACTCCAAGAACAGGCCAGATTTGAGAGGTCCAACCGACCAACAGCCATGATCCCAGTGTCCGAGCAGCGTAACATCTTCCACTCGAGGTGGTTCCTTCTGCAATAAGAAATTCCTGAATGCGATTGTAACCCAGGAAAAGAAAAGAGATTACGCAAAACCTGTACTTTTGTTAAGCAGATTTCAACGGAATCATATGCAACAAACCACCTGCAAAGAAAGCTCAACCATAAAATCGATGAGATTCGCCTATACAGGGTTCTCCAGCCCACTGAGATGGCGTATACGGGCACTGGAGGACGGGTTACAGTACGGAGCGAAGCACAAATGGATCAGGAGCACTGTTAGATTCCGTCCTGTATTAGGCATTTGAATTTAAGAATGAGCATCGCATTAATAAAGCAAGGCAGTGAAGTCGCCTCACAAGCTGGTCCATTAGGGTGAACTAGATCAACTACTCCAAATGACTGCAGAAACAAGAGCTTATGCATAAAACCAAGAACACCTTAAAACAAATTGGCTACGGATTTGCATCTGAGATCATTAATAAAGCATAAGCAAATTTAACAGACCCATTGACGTTCCCTATCCACCCAATCAAACAGAGTCAAGGGCCCTTTCATGATGTTCAACAATATCAATGAGCCAAGCAGCAGTCCAATGGATCCATCACATAAATGCTCACCAAACCATTTTCACCTAAATCAGGAAGGAGTAATGTTCATGCAAATGTGTATTCATGGTTTCAACATTAGTGAGCAGACAGTGAGATTTCTGAAGCTAGAGGAAGCCGAAAAACAAAAAGGCAGAATTCTACCATGACAATATGGGCCGAACATCCTGCAGTTGGAAACTTACATCCAATTCACTGAAATTCTAAATGCTCAATACCTACATTGCAGCTGTAATATGTTGCGCCAATATCTTGACCATCATTTGCCAGATTAACCATACAAATTGGACCAGCCACCATGTAACTGTGGCCAGAACAATAATCACTCAAAAAGCCACACAAAAGGGGTCCAATCATTACATTAAAAGCATAAAATCTTCCACTCCTCCCTCGGTTTCAAATATTGGTTGTAAACTACGCAGTTCATGACCCTATGTTCCTACACAATAACATCAGAAGTAGCAAGACAAAGACGGTTTCTTAAACAGAGACAATGCGGAATGAGCATCAAAACAATCTGGCGATAAATAGGTGATGAGAGATAACAGGTAAATGGCACAATAACAAATGCAAAACAAGATATCACTGAACATGTCAAACGTCCCATTCCATTGCTTCCATGCAATAGAAAATTGTAAGTACATGCAATTGCCATACATAAAAAAATTTGAACAATTTAAGTATCGTTTCCTATCCTTGATCCATCATGGACTCGGAAACCGAATAAAAGCCTGTAATGCAACCCAACAAAACCATGCTAGAACTTAATTGGGCCATGTTCAAGATAGCTAAATGGAGCCATGGTTAGGGAGTACATAAAAACCGGAGTACATAAAAACCAGATTAAGAACTAACTCACAAGCGGACAAAAAGGCTAGAACTGAATTACCTTTTCCAACTTATAGCCTCTCATAGCATAAAATAATGTGTGTCAGAGGGCATGTGAAACCCCCGATGATAAGATATGACTTGTTTACTCTTAAAGTTTGAAGACCTGAGGCCCTGAGGCCAATGTTCGCTTAAGTGTCGCTTTTTGTCCAAGACCTTCCACCTTGGTAGAGTTTTCATACGCTTGACTACGTCTCTTTTGCTTTCAATTAAGCAAGATTATAGAAGCTACAATAAATAAATTTAGGTGCAGCAAACTATTGATGTATGCTAATTAACATTGGTTATGTAGGCTAATTAACATTCAGCATGGCGACATAAAACAAATAGGTTGAGCCCTCTGAGTTAGAAAGAACAACAGGAAGCAACATAAGCACGCAGTGAGACTCCAAGATGGAACTCTAATTGTTGCCATCTAGAAGTAGATAGAAAGCCCATTTACTAACTTAATCATGCAAACTCTCTCTTGTCCCTCGACAAAAACTAATTTCATGTAGCCAACCAGAATTTTAGTCACATCAGCGACATCAACAGCTATTACCCATCTTCCCTTTGGACGCAATCCTTATGCATTTCCATTTGATTATGGAGAACTTGCTAGTCTCGACCATCACAAACTTAGCCGACTATTTATCAAACAGTGCTAAACAGTCTACGAGTCACAACTGTACCACCTATCCAGAGCCCCCCCCCCCACAATGAAACTCACGAAGGAGCAAACCCTTAATGATCATCACCTCCTTGTATCCCCTCTCACGCATGGAAACTATTTCGTCACATCCAAAGCAGGGTTTCAGCGGCTAAAATACCCACGAAACAGCGATTAAAAACACATAGCGGAGCAGCTCAAACAGTGCAAACGTCCTAATCATCCGCGGATCTGCAACGCTAAACCCACGAGCAACTTTCCAAATCTAATTGCTACCCAGAAATTACACTTAGCCAAACATCTCGAACGCTGAATCAAATTTGAAGCTTCGGAGCGTGCGAATCAGACCTGCAGATGCTTCTCATCGGGCCAACCCAGAAGACAGCGATGGCTTTGAATTAGTTCTGAGCAGACCCAAATCCAGTCCAGCCGCAGCAGGGTACGACGACGCATGAAAGCTTCTCTCTCTCTCTCTCTCTCTCTCTCTCTCTCTCTCTGTGAAATGAGGTGAGAGTCATCTCCATCTCTAGAGCTTGTCGCCCGATTGAACGGGGCTTCCATGGATGAAATGCATGTTGATTTTGCAGTTTCCACTTCCAGCACATTGAATTGGCACGAGAGAGATAGAGAAGAGAGAGGGGGAGGGGGGAGAGGGTTGGAGGATCGGTACGTGTCGACTGTCGAAGTGACCGCCACGGAGATAAATGAACAGATCAAGTGTTAAATCTCATCTAGTTTAATATGTAATCTATGGATTATCTGTATCGTATAAATATACATTCATATAGTAACGAACTAGCCCGACGAGGCTAGGGAACATTCAAGCTCTTAGCAGGTTTTTAGGATGGTGAAGCGGCCGGAATGAATTGTATTGCACACCGAGCTGAGAAAGCATTCCCAAAATACGTGTGTGAATCTAAAAGTAACTCACATAAAGCCCTTTTGACGCATTGGAAAATGTTAAGCGTGCAAAAGTGTGTTCATGTATGAGTATAGGTGACCTTTTGGGAAAGTGCTCGCATTTATATCGTTAGACAAAACCCGATATGAAAAGGGTTAAAACGCATAATACCTACTTCGAATTATTTTTGTGAACTGACAAGTGAAATTCTTTAATAATCTCTAATCTTATTGACTTGACTTCTTAAAAGATGAATGGATTTATATAATCCAGTCTATATTGAACAATTCCTTTTTGCGATTAGTGCTTTTTCATTAGTTAAATGGAGAGTGATAATTGAATAATTGAACAGATGAATTGATGGTGTGGCTTTCCTTTTGTACTTCCAACCTTCATAAACACCTAAGATTTTTTTTGTCTTTAGTTATATAGACATGGGTGACCCTGAAAATACATACTAAAATAAAATAAGCGTGGATATTTGACTTTGAGTATATGTTGATGTATACGATCGGTAAGCATGTGTCGCGGTCCAGACATTCTCAAGGCATGATGAATGGAGAAACCATCCAAGATGACTGGGAAAGCCTTGAAACTTCTAAGGTCTAAATTTCTTGAGTACTCTAGAATATTCTTCAAGGTAATATGAGAAATGTGCACTTGTATTCTAAAGCATTTTCGTATTTTCGTCTTGTCGATATATGTGGAGATAGAATCTCCACAATTAAATCAAGAGGAAATCTACGGTTGAAATTGAAGAAAATCAACGGTTGAAATTGAGGTGCATGTATAAATAGGTTCCCTTCCCTCGTTTGCATCGTCTCACTAGAAATCTAGAGTTCCTCCCTAGCGCAAGGAACGCTAGATCAACCATCTTGTGAGTATACGATTAACATTAATAATAATTAACGGTATAAAAAATAATTAATTTAAAAAAAATGAAATTGTTATTATGTGGTTAGGAAAACTTCATCTTCGTGTTCAATTCTTTAAATGAACAATCAAATCATATAGAAGCCCCACCGCGATGTTCCTTAAAATTGCCACAAAGCATTACTTGACCGTATACAAGTAAGAAAGATAAAAGTCACATAAATCAACGGAAATGGTCAAATTAAAGCTTCACTAATGACTAAATACACATGCCATGTTAGAATTCAAGAGCTCTCGATCTGATAAAACCAATCTCGCGCAATAACTCCCCATGTCAAACTTCCAACACGGGATCCCATACCATCCTAAATTGCCAAACTTTTATGCGGTCAGGCTTCGCTGTTATATTCGTCGATCGTCTCTTTCATTCCATCCAGCTGAGATAGGATGTATTTCAGCTTCTCCAGACAAATCTCATTCGCTATTCGAGGGCTGTAGTCGCACTTCTCAAACGGACGGTATTCACACGCACTTTTGATTTCGTCTCTCAGAGTCATCTGGATGTCCTTGATCGACTGCATGAACTCGCGGCAATGGTTGTCTATAGATTCCTTTCGGGGACCGGCAGGATTAGCTAGTTCATCCATTACTCCCCCGGCTAGCTCCAATACCTTAATGATTCTCTTTTCAACATTTTGAAGCCGCTGCAATGACGTGTTTTGTGTCGGAGAATCCATGGACTCTGCGCTAACAATCGCTTTCTCTCCTTTTGTATTGCTTTCTGTCCTTTTGTATTGAATCAGCTGCAGTCAATGATGCACAAAATAAAATTCTCCCTCACCCAATAAAGCATCGAACTTTTCCAGAATATAAACAAGATATGAACCATCGTGTCAGTAAGTAGTTGAATATTGCATCAAAAGTTTGTAACTAACTATTGGAACCTAAAATTGTCCAGGAAATTCATAGGAAAAGAATATCAGAACAAAATGCCTGAACAAAATATAAGTTTCGAATACATCAAAGATCCTAAATTGTGGTCTTCATCATCTGAGCAAAATTTCAAACTGTGAGAAAGAACTGGAGACTTTTTTTTTTTTGGTCGGAGAAAGAACTGGAGAATACTCATCCAGAAAAATCTTTTGAAAAGGAAAACAACCATAAAAGAACCAAACAGTTCCTTCTCAAAATTTCATTCCAAATTATTTAAGAAGGAACATAACTATCAAATTATCAAACGGTCCCTTCTCATAGGTTCATACTTGTGAGTCGTAACTATCTAACCTTCGAAACCAACCTAAAAAGTCATCCTAGAGGACAGCTTACCATCATATTTTCATCATAGGCGCTTACAAAGAAAGAATTCGACTATAAGTTAAGATGTGCATTTATCTTTTACTTGCTTGAATAGGCCCGTTCAGTACCTTGCTTGAGCTGAGCTTAGCCTAATTCAAGCAAGCAAAGCTGAGCCCAAGTGTAATAAGAGCGATGATGGAATAACATCAATCCATAAAACACTTGACCTGCAAGCTAGAAGGAGAGCACTGTAAATATCATGTCCATTGATTCAACTGAAACTAAGATCACGACTAGCACTGCCGGGTATGATTCCTCCTGCTCACCATCTGAATCGCACCTGACCAGGCTCCGAACAGGGGTTCAGTTGCCAAAATAAATACTCCGGAAGAGATTCTGATGATGAGGACGGGTACAGGTATATGGAAACACTAACTACAACAGAAAAATACGTGTTCAACGGGAGGTTCTATTGATCACTTGTCTGGATCCTACACCGTTATTGTATGAGTGCTTCGGCCATAGATTCCCACCGGATAAAAAAAACCAATAATTTGCGCTTCCATTAGATGGAAATGCCTAGAGCAGTCCAATTTCTAGAAGAATTTCGGCACGAGCTGTACTGGAATGGAAAGCTTCATAAAAATCAAGCGATCTTGTGCATCTTCGGCCATCACCGACATAAAGACGGTATGTTATGCGCCTAACTCACTGTCCGAAGCGTGCAAGTTCTAGTTAAACCATCCAACACAACAAATGTGGCATCTTTCTTAAACCCTAAAATGCACCATAACTAGGTATCTCGTCAATCATTAGCTGAATTTCCTAACAAGTCACCAATGCCATCAACCACCAGCACAATTATCACATATTGACCCCCGGCGATGCAACAAAATCTATCAATCGAACCGAACAAGACAAAAAGAAATCAAATTGGGAAGCGGATCCAACATAGAGATTACAACAGAAGCAAACCCTAGAAGGAAGAGTTCGCGACCAAGACGACATCGAAGCTTCCCAAATTCATAAGCGGAAATCTATCGGTCAGTGGAAATCTATCGATCAGACACAAAAAGAAAAGGAGCGAGGAATCGTTACTTGGAGCGATTAGGACGGTCGATCGTCGACGAACTTCACCAGGTGAGGCTTGACGAAATCGCTGCGAGCTGTGGCACGAGCTTTGCTGAGGAGCGAGTTCGGCGAAGGAGAGGTGAATGGCGACCGCGATAAGAGGAACGCCGGCCGGCGGCGAAGACGGCTACGGTCGCTGCTAGTTTATTGCGCGTCGCTGGGTATTCCCACAGCAGTGTACTCGGGTTCTTCCTCTGGGCTCAGCTCGTCTATATTTGACTGTAAACAGACCAGAAGCACTGGTCCGAGAAGATCGAGCCCGGTCTTTTTGGGCTCAACGTTTGTTTAGCATCTCGCGAGAACAGAGACTCCCTTTCTTTCGCGGAAAACATTTTCCGGAAAAATATTTTGTTCATTTTTTGGGTTTGAATCGCTTAGAAAAATGAGTTAACGGAAAAAGTTTTTGTACCTATATTCAAATTCAGAAAAATGATTTCCTCTTTAAAGAATCATAAGTCATTTTCCAAAAAACGGTTAGATATCGGCTTTTAGATCAAAAAATATGCGCTTAGACACAAGAACCCAATGCTTATTCCCGCACTCTTGGCAACGAGGCCGGGCCTAGAGGCTGGGATCGGATCTACCAAGGTCCACCGAGGGAAAACCCGGGACCAATGATGCGGGACCCAGGACCTCAACACCCAACCCGAGTCCATTGAGGCCGCACTTGGAACTCCCGTGCTCATGCCCATGACACGAGCACCCCAGCCCAAGTTCATCTAACCCGAGCTTGAGTACATCAAGGCCTGACAAAATGACCCCTGTGCCTAGGCCCAGGTCCCCCACGCTCGCCCCCTAGTCTATCAAAGTTGGCCCCGAGACCCCAACGCCCGGGACAAGGTCCTCAGCACCTACTCCCTAACTTGGGTCCATCAAAGTCCGATCTAGGTTCCCAATGCCCATGCTCGGGTCCATCAAGGTTGTGCTCGAGATCCCGATGCCTGTGCTCAGATTCCAAATGCCCCTGCCTAGGTCTATTAATGGCTCGTCAAGACTAAAGCTCAGGACGCTAGTGCTCGTGCTCGAGCCCAAGGTGCCCTCTCCCGAGTCCATCGAAGTCGGGCATGGACCCCGCCGCCTGGACCCAGGACAACACCCATGCCAAGGCCCATCAATGTTGGGCTAAGGACCCCAGCGCCCATAACCGGGTCCCAGGTCCCCGACCACCAGCTGGGGACCTTTGATGCTTGGCTCAGGTCCATCAAGGCTGAACCTAGATTCATCGAGGCTGGCCCTAAGATCCCAGAGCTCATGCCCAAATCCCCGGCATCAGCGTTGAGGTCCCGACCCCTCCTCCATGGACTTAGGTTTGGGCGCCGGGGACTTGGTCCCAAGTGCCAACGTTTGGGGCCTGAGCCTTGATGGACTCAGGCGTAGGCGCCTAGGACCAGGCACTAGCGCTGGGGACTTGGGATCGACTGCCGGAGTCTTGAACCAGGGTGCAGGATCCTCAGCCTGATCTCTCCAGACCTAGAATTGATGCCTGTGCTTATGCTTGGGAGCTAGGAATCCATGTTATGTCTGTGCCCAATTCCCCTTTATGTCTATTTAGAAAAATCTCGATGTTCCTTATCAACAACTGGAATATATATATTTTCAGGTTTCAGCCAAATATTGAAAAATATTGTAATGACTTTTTGGAAAATATTTTCTAGATATGTCACATTTTTTGCGAAACAAACGAAGCCAAGGTATGGTATAGATCAATCAGAAGAGGTATGCGATGCGTAAAAGTATTTCCCCCGGATTAATCCTCAAATTTCATCTGTTTTCTAAAATTGAAAAAGTTCGGATTTTTAAGAATGGAGTCTTATCATATGTTGGAATCTGTTAGGATACTCATCCATGAATAAAACGTATTTTAACACATGAAAGTTGGATAGACTGTCTCTTTTGTGAGGATTATTTGGTCTCTAATTTTTATATAATGCGCATTGAATAATAGGAAATTATTCCTTATTTATGTAAATTTCATATATTCAAGGAGTCTAAATCAAAAGGAGAAAGTTGAAGCATCATTCATAATATGAAAAAATTGTCCAAAAAGTCCTAAACCTATTGTACGAAGGTCAATTAGTTATAAACATTTCAATTGTACTAATTTAGTCGTAAACCTTTTGACGATTTGCTAAATCAGTCATAAACCTTTCAATTATGCCAATTTAGTTCTAAATCTTTTGATAATTCACCAATTTATTCCTAAACCTTTTGATGATTTTCCAATATAGTTCGTCTAACAAAATATCAAATAATAGGTTGAAGACTAAATTGGCAAATGTTAAAAAAGATTCAAGACTAAATTGACACAGACAAAGGTTTAGGACTAAATTAAAAAATCATCATAAGGTTTAGGACTAAATTGGCACAATTGAAAAGTTTAGGACTGAATTGGCCGTCGTATAAAAGGTTTAAGAATTTTTTTTTTGATAATCATGCCTTCATAATTGGATGTGCCAAATTAAAAAAGACGATACGATTAAAGATCCATTGAAATTCACAAATTTGGGATATACTATTGCTTTTTATTTGGATGAGCTGAGCCAATAGAATGAACTGAAGGAGTTCCATGTATGAATTTTGTATTGCGCACATAACTAGATTGCGCTCTAGAAGGTCAAGTAGGAGAGAATTAATAAATAGAATACGAAAAAATATAACAAAGAATGAAAGGGATCGAATTCTATTTGTACAATATTTAGTTAGGATATTTTACATATAGATACATTTTATACTCTTTTTAGGCTCTGTTTCGGTGGAAATGAACAATTTGAAAAACATTTTCCTAAAAATGATCACGTGTATCGCTCAAAATCAGGCTCCCAAAAACCATATATTCCTTAAGTGGGTTTTATCCCATGGAAACGCTCTTTAATGAAACTTTAACTTTAGCCAGTCGCGATAAAGAAACCACTGGTTTTGCTCGGTGGGTTGGGATTGCACAACTTATTTCATTTATCGGATAAATTGTTGGGGCCTCATGTGGTCTACTCCGAATTAATCTTACTTTGGCCCAGAGCAATAAACGTATTTGAAGTATTTGAAGTGGCTCACTTTGTATGGATAGGAAAAGCCACGCGCAATGAAAAATGCAAGCACGGTTTTGGGATGAATTTTTATTACGTATTTTGATAAAGAAATTATCTATTATGTCCGACGAGCTTCGGGTTTGAGATTGCGTGGAGTCTAGTCCTTTAATTTACTTCTTGGTAGGGTAGTCAATTGGGTGGATAGGGTTAGATTTGGGTTAGTTCAAAAATGGCCTGACTAAATCGATTCATTTATATACAATACAAATTTAGTGACGATTACCGGCCCACATTATGAAAACACACACACACATATTTTAAAACAAGAACTTTTATACTATGCATGTAGTGTGTAAAAATATAAAGTTTTAGGTTGTGTTTGGTCGTCTAGATTTTTAGTTAGGATATGACTGGATACGATATGATATGAAATCTAGGGATTTTGATATATCATAACCACTGTTTGGTGAATCATAGTAATAAAGCCGGATTATTTCATATATTATCATGTCCATTGTTTGCTATGAACGATATGTCAGCATAAATGAATCTAAAAATTGCACAAACAAAAATGATAAAAAATTTCTTACGACACTCTTGCCTACTTCATTTTTGTTTGCTTATTTTTTATTATTTATCCCTCTCTTTTTTTCTTTTTTTATTTCTTTTTTCCCTTCCATTACTCTTTAATAAAATTTTATTAAATAGTAAACTATACTAATATACTTACAATATTTAATAAATATAAATACTAAATATTTATCCATTTATATATATGGAATTTATATCATAAGATAGAAAGAAATATGAATATATAAATAAAAACGGAATTGTTGTTATTTTTTTGTTATTTTGAATTTTTTATATTAGAATTATAATATTATTTATATTCAAATTTTATTTTAATATTATTAATTTAACAAGTTTGTTATTCGAGAAAAATAACTTTTTATATTATGGATATTATAAATCCTATCCACCTTTATCTCACTTCTCCCGTGGGATAATTTTATCTAGGTTATATCCCCCTTATATACGACTTTATCCTATCTTGGGCAGACTCCAAACACAGGATATGATAAATGTTATCCTATCCTGAATTTTATCCTAACTACCAAACGTAGTCTTAGTAGTTTTATAAGGTCTCAAAAAAGATTTTCAACTTATTTCCGACTTTTTGTTTTATTGCAAAATTTTCGAGATCCACAATATCCGACGTCTCTTATAGTCAATAAGTCACGTAAAATCATATATTAATTTTCACAATTTTATAAAGCTTTCAATTTTGAAAAACAAGAAGATCATAAGTAAAAGATGAAACTAGAAAATAAGTTGCCCCACCCGAAAACCCTCATCCCGAACCCGAAGACAAGTGAAGAGAGA